GGCAAGGCAAGGGGGCAGTCTGCTGAAGGACAGGAACTTGATTGCCAGCCACGTGCATCTTGGTGCCATCAGTTGTGGATGCCAATCTAGCCCGAGGAGCTCCTATCCGAAAATTTGCAGCTCTCCGATGCTGCTTGGGCGAGCCGTGAGACGGATGGCCCCATGAATGCTACGGTGGAGCTTGCGGGTAACATGCAGGCTTCTGGCAGTGACAGCTGCTGTGTAGAATTCCGTTGTGCGGGAGTCACGGAGGCTTGGGCCTTTCCGCGAGACTATGTTCGGGGCAACAGCCGGCTTCGCAATGGCCAAGGTCTGTCAGGTGCCAACTGGTAAGGTAGGTACAGTCGTCTGTGTTGTCTGTTTCTGGTGGAAGCTGGCATGTCAACGTCTCCACGAGAGCCTGCAGCAATCCATGAGTTGTCTCTGACAGTCGTTAGGCACAGTGGACGCTTTGCTGCAATACCTGCGGGCGGACAATGCGATCATCACGGCGACTCGACTTGCAGCTGCATCCATTGCAAGGCAGCATGCGTCTGCGATCGTCTGCAAGCCACCCACATGTCAGAAATCATGCTTGCTAATCATACACTGTGCTTGTTGAATACTAGATGTCCCTGGGGGGTTGATGATCTATAGTAATCATGCTTATTGTATGATGGTGCCGAGTGTTGATTGTGCAATGCTGAGGCAGTGTCCCGAAAATTCGAGGATGCAGGAAATGCCGTGGAGCCATGGCATATGGCTCAGCTCGTCCCAGATGTACAGACTGACAATGCTGCAATATTAGGTCGGCTGTATTAATCTGTGTGCTGTCGCGACATCAGAGCGATGTAGTTGCGAACAGCTGCTTTTTGGATCTTGACTACTCTGACTCGCATCACTCGACATGAATGCCCATGATAGACTGGACATGTCGCTGGACAGCCGCGTGCGGCTGCATACAGGTATGGCACCCGCTTTCGGACGCGTCCGCTGGCACAGCAGCCGCGCTGGCTGCGAGTTCCTGCAGCGCCAGGCTTAGGTCAGACATGTCTCGCGTACAAGCTGCGGTTGCCACTGTTCGTTTCTTGTCCACATGGGTCGGTGTCCTTCAGAGATTGGAGGCCTGCCAGATCCGAATCCCTTCTTGCCGCGCAACCTTGAGCTCAAGGTCAGCTTCTGCAACGAAGTTTGCATAAACAATAGTTGGCACTCACTTCACCGTCAATGCAAAGCCGATGTGTCGGAGGCGCTCAAGTCGAAGCCATCCTCCAAGAATGCGATCGTATTGCCTGAGAGCAAAATCGAGAAAGTCTGGGAGGCTTTCTTTACGCACCTTGGCCCAGGCATGCAGCTCATGGATCTGAAGGGCCTGGATGCAGGCAGCACGAAGAAACAGAATGCAGAAGGTCAGGACATGTCAGGACGTCACCCGGTCGAACTGCATATACGCTTTCTGACGGAAGGCCCATGCTGCATCTAGGAATTGAGATGAAGGTTCGTTCACTAGGCGACCTGAACTCCGGGAGTAGGTTCGCCAGAAGCACCTGTAGCACCCTGTAGCGGCGAGCCTGGGTACCCGACATGTGCCATTGGCTTTGAGGCAAGACACCGAGCCGCTTCTCTCAATTGGGTCCAGCTCATCGCAGTGATTCCGAAGGGGGCCTGCACTACTGCCTCGAGCTGACGCGCACAAACTGCACAGAGGCGGAAAGAAGTCACTCGCGAGCGAATCGACCGGATCTCTTCCTTTCTGTAGCATCTTCTGCCTGTACGCACATCCTGGCAGTTCTCGCTGCTTCACATCCCGGCTTGAGCAAGGTATGGCGTACCCAAAGCCTTTGCCTTCATCGAGCTGCGGACAAAGCTTCCGCGGAGCAACCCGATCGGCACGCTTGCATGCGGACATGGCTCGCGTTCTCAAGTGCTCACCCTGTGCCTTTGCTGACTCAGGCAGCGCTCGCGCTGCAGTTTGTGCACGAATCTACGAATCCATGTTTCGACAAGCGTTGCAGGAGAGCTGAGAAAGGAAATCCTTTGTGCAGCCAGCGGGTAAGTTTGCATCCTACTGGTGTGACATCAGGAAACCCTTCTTTATGATGCGGAGGTGGCAGGCACCGGAATAGCCACAGCCCAATCTCTGCAAACTTGCCGGTCTTGTGCAGCTATCCCCAGCCTCAGAAGATGTGTTCGGGTTGGCGTGTGGCTCTCTGCTCGTCAGGGCTTACCTTCGCCTTCAGCACCTCCATGCGCGGAGTCGAGGATTGGAAAGAGTGGGCAAGCAGAGTTAGTCGGTCGACTTGGCTTGGCTGTGCTTTGCTTTGGATCTGCGCAGCTCTTCTTCGGCGGCTTCGACGATCGCCTTTCAGACTTCGCATCGACAGCGCTGGGAGAGCTCCTGGCCTTCGATGTGGCGAAGAACGCACAAGGCTGAGGGGCTGCGGCCATTCTCGTGGGTAAGACTGCAAGCGTATTCGGCTTCTCCCGACTGCTATCCAACCTTCCGTCCGGAATGACAGGCTTCCGCGCACAGGCAGACCTGCTACAAAGAGAGCTGGAGTCTGTCGACACGCAGGCTATGGACTAAAGGAAGTTCACGACACATGGGAGTGAGACATCTTAATCGGCAGCACCCTGGGGCAGGAGCCATTCAAGCAAGCCTCCTATTGGTCAGGCCGACAGACACCCTTTTTTGTCGCAGTCTCCTTGTGGCCTGCCAAGAGTTCCAAATGCTGTCTTGCAAAACAGGCTTGGCAACTCTTGTGGACGAAATCTCTTTCAAGGCCGTACAGTCGTTGGGCCTAGCAAAGTGTGGAAGATGCTGTCGTCTTACATCCGGCCTATCCAGCCTACACGCAGTCCCTGTCATGGTGCCAGGAGCTTCAAGCAGCGCTGGCCGGGCTGAAGTCGCCTGGAACGCAGCGGGGCTCACAACGGGGTCAGTGGCACGGTAGCTAAGGGCTTCGGACGTGGCAACCTTTGCATCGGCACTTTGGGCATCTCCTGTGGTGGGCCTCTCCCTCTGCGAGGGCAATTTACGCCAAGATGAGGCCGAGCCTTGCTAGATCTTGCTGGCCTCAGTTTTCTAGGGCTGTTTCAGGGATCCATGGCGAACTGGCCGGCGGGTCCTTAAAACTGTGCAAAGACCAACGGAAGAAACAATAAGAGCCACATAAAGCTGAGGTGCGTGTTCGGTTTCCAGTTGAGAGCGATGAGATATTGTGCCCACACTATAGAACCGTGAAAGCATGTATCGGATCCACGACCAGAGCAGCCTTTCCTGGCTCTGGTGACAGCTCGGTTACTCTCGGTATGGCCATCATCTGGTGAATCTCAGGACAGCTTGATCTCGAATGTGAGGAACCTGCTCAAGTCCGAGAACTTTCTCGCCGCGCCCGAATCTGACCCTCGACAGAAAGCTGTGTGGCACCGTTGAGAAGGGCAGACCTTAATCTTACAAGACAGCAAAAAAACTGCATACCTAGCATGAAAACTGTCCGGGCTCCCATTCCTAGAGACCATCGTCAAGTGTCTGTCGTGACTGGAATTGAGGGTGCCCTCTTGTTCGCTTCGCGAGGAGTGGCCAGTGCCGCGTGTGGCCAAAGTCCCCGTGAACAGCTTTGGCCAGGGAAGCTTGCCAGCAACGAACCCCCCAAGATGCCCAAGAGCCCCGACCCCTTCTACAAAGGCGCTGGCAGCTACAACACAAACTTGTGCAAGCTGTTCGTGGTCTGAGGCGTGGTCCTGGTTCACCAGATCACTGACCCCACCGAGGATACCTCAAGAGACCGCAGCCTGCTCACTATCCTGGGCCGTGTTGCAAGGAGAACTCTGCCGTGGAGTTGAGCTTTCAAGCTGGTCGACCGCGCGGCAACTTTTTTCTTCTCATGTTGACGGTCAAGACGCGGTTGAAGCCCTCCCAGGCAGCACTCGAAGCGGTTCTGCTGAAGACTTGAAGCGGCTGTCCGAGCTGCAGGCAGGGGAAAAGAGACGAGATGGAAGGATGAAGCGGAAAATGCTTCCATAACACACTGCAGGTTTTCGGAAGCTTTCAGGTGGTCAGTCCTTCGGATGACCACGCTTGAGGATGTGCGGTCGTACGGCGGATGGGCGATGCAGTGGTCATGGAAATTCAGCAGGTCCTCTCAGCAATCCTCAGCGACGAGCACCTTGGAGCCTTGTTAAAGCCGATCAGAGCAAGCCCACACCGACACGAAGTTCCCGGGACTGCTAGGGCTTCCCGTGAAGCTCAGATGGTATCGCCGCAGGAGCGACTCGAGTGGTGACTATCCTAGGTTCTACGAGGAACTGCGTGCACGTCAGCAGCTGGGCTATGTCGTCAGCTGCCGTTTGGACCGGCAAGTGGTGGAGTGAGACATGTCGAGTGTCAGTTGGAGGAAGCAATGTCAGGCAACTGTGATCTGCAGCCACGCTTTGTTTTTGGAAGGACCGGGGAGAAGGGGCCTTCAGCTGCTTGTCTGCAGGCGAAACTCCCAAAAAGAGCTCGTGTCCGTTGTTGGATCCAAGGACTCGTCTTCCTGGTGCAAGGAGCCGTGTTGGGCCCCATGGAGGCAGACCGCAGACCCCCACCCGGCGATTGTAAGCTTTCTGACCCCTGCAGTGGCAGGTTCTCGACAGGATGGACGCCTTCATCAAAAGCGGGATGAGCCTGATCGACGCGTCAAGCCTAAATTGGGTGCTTACATGTGTCTCAAGTCGGAAAGGGAATCCCTGCGGCGGCCCTGCTTGTGCCCAGGCAAAGTCAGAGCGGGACATAGCGGCCCTGGCTGACTCGCTGGCCCAGGACATGAGAAGTCTTTCTGATGCTTTGAGAAACTGCTAGAACAGAGAGCCGGGACAAATTCCGCTTAGAGATCGAATGAAGTATAATGAAGTCATGAGTTCCTTCAGCTTCCTTGCCGACACATAAACCATTAAACACATTATAACACATTTGCGCTGTGCCAGGCCCGGCTGGTCCGACCACAGCAACTCCTCGAAGCCAGCCAGCGGCGATGGGTCGAGATCTGCAGTGCCCGGGCTTGGAAACCGACCTGCCACCATGTTTCTTAGCCTCGAGCAGCTGCTGTGTCCCTTCGATTGCATTGCAGGTCGGTCTTTCCTCTGGCAGCGTCGGCTGGAGGAGCAGAGACGACAGAAAGCCTTGCCAGCGTCGCAGAGCGACTGCGGAAAATGCTGAGTGCCGTCCTGTGCTGCATGGGGTGCGCCCTCCCTCTCCAAATTTCTTGTGGCATCCCAGCTGGCAGCTGCGTTTGCCGTAGCTTCAGGAGGCACTGGCCCTGAAAGCCGTGTCCAAAGAAGCTGTCGTAGAGGCGGGCTAGCCCTGCATGAAGCCTTTTGCCTGAAGAGTAGACGAGTCAGCGTGTGTTTGGTCCCTCGACTAGTTGGAAATCTTGCAAGGCATTTCAGCGTTGGCTGGCACCTGGCGGATCAGAGCGGCGACGTCTGGTCTCAATTTGTGCTCCTGCCAAAGTGTCGCTTGGACAAAGAAGTGGCCACACATACTACATACTAAAGTTTGCGTTGGGGGCATCATCTCAGGCTTCCCACCGTTGACCAGCTGGAGAGCAACGGCGCTCAGGCCCACAAAGTAGTATATAAACTTATAGAGTGACGAGTGCATACTATGCAGACATCGTGCAGGCAACATGTTCAGCCATACCTGCATACCATTCGATGCAGATAAGCCAACTTCAAAATTCCGGATCTCTCGCTTGTGACCTGGGAGTGTGAGCCTGGTGAAGTTGCGCCCAACAGAATTGCATGCAGTAGCCGCTTGATCAAAGGAAAACTCTGCAGTCAGCTCTTGCGCCGGCCGAGCTAGCTTTGCCACTGGAGGTCATCAAAGATCCCCAAAGCTTCGCGCGGCAGCACCCTGGAAATCATGCATTTATACTTTGTACTGCGTAGGGTGGCGTTTAATCGCGCTGGGGTGCTTCCTCACTTCTCGGATTCTGGTCAGTGCATGGTAAATTCCCACTTCGGTCCTCCGACTCAAGTGCAGGTCGCCGGTGCTGCATTGCTTTATGCGGAACGTGTGTGCAACAAAGGTCTGTGCTTTGTAACGGTGCTTCCGCCTGTGACAAGCCAGTTTTGCAAAATACTTCGCTATCTGTTGGCACGGGCACGGTGATATGTATGATGTGGGTGGTAGTAGCAGTAGTCGTAGTAGTAGTAGTAGT